TTTTTTTTTTTTTTTTTTTTTTTTTTTTAAAAGCACCACATTGTCCTTTTTTTCCTGCTATCTTTGGAATCTGTTAAATTGTGGTGTGATTTATTTCCTGCAGACACAGCAGCAGATTGCTGTCCAGGGGCAGCAAGTGGCACAGACTGCTGAAGGGCAGACCATCGTCTATCAGCCAGTTAACGCAGATGGCACCATTCTCCAACAAGGTAGGGTACCCTTAAGTGTTTGCGGACTTCATGGGGCTTCTTTTTCGTTCCTTGAGCGACTCACTGCTTCAAAGATTCAGTAGTAAACTTCCACCCCAAATAGTTTTTGAAAGAAAAAAGATTTCCTCATGTTCTCTTTTGATTGTCGATTCCTTGTCACCAGTACGTGACCAACACTGACATTATTTGTAGGAGTTTTTCCTACGCTAGTTGTTAAAAGACTGGTGCTGTTGATTTAAGCTTTTAATGCTTTTTGGGGAGAAATATTTCTAAATAGAAGATTGGAAATACGAGATCTTTATTGATTGAGGAAGAAATGAATCAGAAATCAAGTTGGCATTTAGAGTGCTGTTGCTGCTTATTTTTTCCCCCTTATTCGTTTATTCCAAAAAGACTTATTATGTACCTACTATGGACACAGCAAGGAGCCCTGGTAGCGCAATGGCTAAGCGCTCAGCTGCTAACCGTAAGGTCAGTGGTTTGAACCCACCAGCTGCTCCATGGGAGAAAGATGTGGCAGTCGGCTTCTGTAAAGATTACAGCCTTGGAAAACCTATGGGGCAGTTCTGCTCTGTCCTGTAGGGCGCTATGAGTCGGAATCGACAGCAACAGGTCGGTTTTTTAAATGGACACAGCACTTTACTAAGAAAGAAGTGATCTGTCATCAAAGAGCCTGTACTCTAGTGAGGGAGGCATACCTGTGAACAAATAAATACAATGCAGGGCCCTTATGGAGGCAAGTTTTAGGAACAGATGATAAAAAGGAAGAGATGAACTCTGCTTAGATTGGGAGGAGGAGAATGGATGTCAGACAGGAGGACATCTTCAAACTGGACTTGAGGGCTTTTGGAGGCGTTTATCAGCTAAATGTTAAAACACAGCTGCTCACATTTCGCTTAGGTTCTACGACTAAAGTTTTGAAATTAAATTGTTTGCAGTATACATGATCCAGAGATTACAACAACAGTGTGTTCTCATACGACTCAGGTGAGGGCCTGAACTGGACTGAGCCCTAGGAAGAGTTCAAACAGAAAGGCAAACAAATCAAGTGCTGCTTAAATGATTTTTTAAAGCAGACTTTGTGTAGTATTTTTTGATAATTACGCCATCTGTTGATAGTGACTTGGAATGCGTGGTTTAATTGTAGTTTTTAGTCATGCAGCTGACTGACTCATTATCAATTTGTAATAAACAAATTGTAAGTTTATAAAATCGCCATCCTGAGAGATTGTTCATATGTACAAGAACAGGGAGTACAGAAGAGGAGGCCTCCAAACTTTCTTACCTCCCTTTGAAAGCTATTAATGGAATGCCCAGAGAAATATCGAATGTAAGAATAGATTTACTAATAAGTGGGACCCAGACAGTTAATAGAATTTCAGATTATGATTCCTCGGATTATATATATAGCAAACCAAGCAGAGGGTGGGACAGTGCTTTCTCTCTACTGCTTTTTAGGGTACTTTTTATCAGGGTGAATGAGTGTGTGCCAGATAGAAGAGGGACTAACTGTGTTCCCTTCTTTCTGTGTGCCTGTTTTTTGTTTGTTTTATGTTTTATTTTCTTAAAGTTACAGTCCCTGTTTCAGGCATGATCACCATCCCAGCAGCCAGCTTGGCAGGAGCCCAGATTGTTCAGACAGGAGCCAATACCAACACAACCAGCAGCGGGCAAGGGACTGTCACTGTGACACTGCCCGTGGCAGGCAATGTGGTCAATTCAGGAGGGATGGTCATGGTAAGAAAATGGATTCTTCAGTTGTCTGTTCTCATTTGTAATTTAGTTTTCCATATATCTCTTTGTCTTAGAAAATTTCTTGAAATTGCATTTTGGTGTCTCCTATCTGAAAAACCAAGAAGCCCTGGTGGTGCAGTGGTTAAGTGCTCACCTGCTAACCAAAAGGTCTGCAGTTTGAACCCGCCAGCCACTCCACAGGAGAAAGATGTAGCAGTCTGCTTCCATAAAGATTTACAGTCTTGAGAACCCTATGGGGGCAATTCTACTCTGTCCTACAAGGTTGCTATGAGTCAGAATCGGCTTGACAGCAGTGGATTTAGTTTTGGTTTCTTAAAAATCTATTTGTAATCTTGACCCCTTGGAACTGAGATTTTTTCCTGGAGGCACTGAAGAGATCTACTTTTAAAATAAATATTACAATGGACCATAATTTATTCTGAGTACCTGCTATGTGCCAGGGACTGTTCTTGGTGGACAGCAGGGAATAAACAGATGCAAATATCTGACATGTGATCTTACTCAGAACTCAAATAATGTAGGGGTAGGGTACTAATCTTTGGGAAGTAAAAAGATTGCCTATAGTGAATGAAACAAGAAATAAGCTAAAAATTAGAAAAATTGTAACCAGTAGAGAAACCAAAAAATACGTGATATATTGGGAAGAGATAAGGAGTCAGGTGGTGGGAGTGCAAGGTAAATCCTCATATGTTGAAATAGGATGTCGGCACACGGTGCCTAAAATGGGTAAATTGAGAATGACTGGTACAAGCCTACACAGAGGTGGTTGTAATCGGGAAGGCGAAGGGCACAGGAACCTGATGCTTTTTTCCGCGTACATACAGTATAATGTTTTGTTGTTTAAAAAATTAGGATTGGATTAGATAGTATGTTAATTAATTATTTACGTAAATGTTCGTTTTCAATAGCACCTGGTCAATCTGTACCTGCCTTCATTTGCGCTGTTTTATTGTCTTATGGAGGAGCCCTGGTGGTGCAGTGGTTAAGCGCTGGGCTCCTAACTGAAGGGTCAGCAGTTCGAACTCACCAGCCACTCCATGGGAGAAAGATGTGACAGTCTGCTTCTGTAAAGATTTACAGCCTTGGAAACCCTATGGGGCAGTTCTACTCTGTCCTGCAGGGTTGCTATGAGCCAAAATCACTGCTCGATAGCAGTGGATAATTGTCTTAAAACTACTGTTCCTGACCATTTCATGGCAACAGACATTCCTAGGAAATGAAGCCATGGCTGCACATGATTTAGGCATGGTTTATGTTTTTTCTCAGAGTGGCTCCTGAATCCCCTTTGACAGAATCATTTGGGATGTTTCTTAAAAATGCAGACCTTTAGTGTAAACATTGCCCATGGGTGGGCCCAGAAACCTGCATTTAACCAAGTGTCTAATAAAAGCAATTATTTGTAGCATTCAGAAGAAAATAGATTAACAGGGACCAAGAAACTAATGTCCATACTTTATGCCACTAGTAAGCGATGGTTTCCTCTTCATACAGATGGTGCCTGGGGCTGGCTCTGTGCCTGCTATCCAAAGAATCCCTCTACCTGGGGCAGAGATGCTCGAAGAAGAACCTCTCTATGTGAATGCCAAACAGTACCACCGTATTCTTAAGAGGAGGCAAGCCCGGGCTAAGCTAGAGGCAGAAGGGAAAATCCCAAAGGAAAGAAGGGTATGTATAACGTTGGGAGGATATAGAAGGGAACAGCAGGGTTCTACAATTGAAATTACTTTTTTTATGGTTGTTTCCTTGAGTACCTTGCAAATAATTGGAGATAGCTGTTACCTTTTATAAGAGTTAGCATTTGTTGTTACATACAGCTGCAACCATATAACAAAAAAATGATAGTGACTTAAACAGGATTTTTTTTTCCCCCTCACACAAAAGAAGTCCAGAGGTAAATTGTTCTGGTTTGGTAGCATAGTACAGTTCTCAAGACCCATTCTCCTCCTGTATTACTGCTCTAATACTCCTAGTGTGCTACATATAGTCCAAGATGGCTGCTTGAGCTCCAGTATAGGGGCAAAGGGAACAAGAAAGATAACCTTCTCTTTCACTGTAACTTTCAGGAAGTTCCATACAACACTTCAACTTATATCTCATTAGCCAGAATTTAGTTAATAATTACATAGCTACAGTTACCTGTGAGTAAGGCTAGGAAATGTAGTCTTTTTATTAAGCAGTCCAACAAAAATTTAGTTCTGCTGTTAAAGCAGAAAGGGAGGATGTATATTGGGAGTTAGGTAGCAATCTCTGTTGTGCTTTTGGACAACAATGTTTTTATTCATTTAGCATTCACATTCTTATAGTAGTTACATATTGTTAGCTGCTATCTAGTGTTTTCTCCAAAGCTTTCTCCATAATTCAGAGTCATAATTACTGCATGTGCCCTTGGTCACAGCTCTCCTATATTATTGAATATGGAATTTAGGCATTAAATAACTATGCTGGTCTGGCTAGTAATTAAATGCCTTTATTTTTCCTGTTTTAGAAATACCTGCATGAGTCTCGGCACCGTCATGCCATGGCACGGAAGCGTGGTGAAGGTGGACGGTTTTTCTCTCCAAAGGAAAAAGATAGTCCTCACATGCAGGTAAGAAGTCTTTTATTTTTGTTGCATTTTTTTTCTTGCGTTGAAGACTTCAGCAGTGCCTTCTTGCTGTTACCACACTCAGGAACTAATCAAGTTCACTAAACTGGGTAAAATGTTGTGTCTCTTAGCTTCTCTTTGGTCTTAAACACACACTAAAGATCTTTAATCCAGTGGCCTTTGTTCCCTCCTTATTGTCTTTGCAGGATATCACTATTAATTTCTTCTTGAAATTCTCACTTTCTTGATTTTGAAGAGACAAAGTTTTACTGTCTCTTATTGTGGTAGAAGCAGCAGCTTACACTGTCTTATGTGCCAGACACTATGTTAAGCACTTTTATCGTCACTTTTTTTTTTTTCCATTGAATCTTTACAACAGCCTCAAGCCCTATGAGATAAAAGTTACTGATTACATTATACAGATGAAAAATCTTAGGTTTAGAGAGGTTAAATAATTTGCCTGAGGTAAAATGATTAATAAATGGTATGACAGAGGTAATTTAATTCCAGAATTCATCTGTTTAATCTGCTACACTGGCTCGTAACATCTAATTCTGCTGTTTATGTTATAGGCATTTCTGAGTCAATACATCCAAAATAGAACTCTGGGGGGTTTTTTTGTTTGTTTTTATATGTGTGGTTTTTTTTTTTTTAACTCAACAAAGGACGTGTCCATTCACCCAGTTACTGAAGCTAGAATTGCCCACTTCTTGAAGCAGTCCTCTTGGTTATACCTCCAAAATATAACTTAGCTCAGTCTACTTTTTCCCTCCCCAATGCTGTCAGCCTGGTCTAAGCCTTTCTTCTTTTGCTTGGATTAACATAACAGGTGCCTAACTGGTCTCTTTTCTTCTGCTCTTGTCCCCCCTCTAGTCCATTCTCCACATCTTAGTGTTACCTCTAAAAATGTGGATCAGATCACATCATTGCCTGCTTAATGGGCCTCCCTCTTCCCTGCCCTTTTCCATTTGCACTTAGACTAAAATGCAACATGCTTACCATGGCTCACAGGGTCCTGCATGATCTAGCGCCTGCCACCTCTAGTTCCATTTACTTCTGCTCCTTAGATTCTCTACTCTTGCCATGCTGTTCTTCTGTCTGTCCTTATAATTTCCAGTCCACATAACTCTTCACTCTATTTTTGCACAACTAACTCCTTGTATTTTAAGTTTGGGTTTAAATCTGAGAAACTATCCCTAACCTTCACCCTATCCAAAGTAGATCTCTTCTACCCCATTATTCTCTCACAACATCTTGCTTTTCTTTAGAGTGTGATAAATAATCTAATTGTTTTATATATTTGCTTAATTGTTTCATGGTTATCTCCTAGACTGCAAGCTCTGAAGAGGATAGAGGGTAGAAAACTGTTCTGTAGTCTCAGTACTTACCATAGTGCCCAGTACAGGAGACATACTCACTCAGAAAACGTTTGTTGAATTAATGAATTCCTCCCATTTACAGATACTTCATCCTGAATGAAAGTCACATCCCACCTGCACTAATGCAGTAACCACCAAATTGACCTCCACCCAATTGACCTCCAGTCTCCTCATAATTGACCTTATACAGTATTCCCAGATCAGTCTTTGTAAGACAGTATTTGTTTTTTAGTCATGTCAATTCCTTGCTCAAAGATATATGCTAGTTCCTTGTTTCTTACTGCATCAAGTCTCAAACTCTATTTCCGTATGACATCTGAGCAACTTTGTCTCATCACCCGCCTCAGCAATCAGACTAGGTTTCCTCAGTGTCCCCCACACATAAACACTATCTCCTTCGATGCTGTTATTCCTCACCTGTGGTCTGAGAGCTCCTCTTTTCTCCTTGCTGTTCATTCATGTAGATTATGGATGTGATGTGCCAGCTATAGGAGGGCATTGTGCCAGGACCTCTCCTAATTTCTGTTTGTTAATAATATGACCTTGGTCAAGCTACATAACCTCTTTTAGCCTCAGTTTCTTCCATCTGTAAAGTGGAATACTATTAGATACTTCACAGGAATGTTGTGAGGGTTTCATGTAGCAATCCACATACCTATTTAGCACATGATGAGTGCTCAGTAAATGCTGATTATTCTTGCTCATTGGTAAGATCCAGCTCCAATCTTACCACCTCTACAGATCTTTCAGCTTTTTCTCTGAACTGGCCAATTGAGACTTCAGAGCCTTGGTATGGGGAACTGAAGGTGGCTATTGTCAAGTATTGCAAAAAGCTTCCAGGGTCTGATCCTTGTCTTGAAACTGCAGATATTAAGTGACAGGCAGCAGGCTGGGTTAAGTGAAAAGAAGACTGAATGGGAGCCAAGAGATTCGGGCTCCTGACTAAGTTTTTGACTCTAGTTAAGGCAAATCACTTTACCTATTAAGGCTCGGGTTTATCTACAAAATCAAGTGCATTAAAGTAATAAATTCTAAAATTATTTCCAGCCCTGCTCAGTGTTCAAAATAATGACACAAAAATATGGTGTAACATGTTTTCTCTGGGTCTTTTTCTTAGTCACCTGAAGACCCTAAAACCTTAAGGGTAGAGGATAACACAGGGTGCTTAGGCAAGAGATGCACATTCAACTTCAGAGTGTTTGATAATGGCGTGTGGGGCCAGACATTAAATCCTTCTAAGAATAAGGTTTATAGTCTCTTCTCTGCTAATGGAGCTGAGATGGTTTTAAACCATGTATGCAGACTGAGATGCATTGTAGGCATTTAGTATACTGGCCAAGAGTTCCCAGTTGCTGTTTTGCAAAGAATTTAGTCATTATTATGCTTTCTTTGTCTCTAGGATCCCAACCAAGCAGATGAAGAAGGAATGACACAGATCATCCGAGTGTCCTAACCCTAGGTCATGTGATGGAGCTGATCAAGGTCATGTCCTCACTACCTTTCCAGGAAATTGATCAACTCTTCCGACAGGACACTCAAGATCATATTCTGTCCTTTTCTACAGGACAGACACCACTTAGTTTTTAATAAGTGGATCAGTATTATAATTGCCACGATGTCTGGCAATTTGAAGTTGCAAGCCTTTGTCTCACCCTTTCAGTCAGGACCTATTTTAGACTGTTGATGACATTGACATTTCATGGATTAGGATGATGGGCAAGGAACTGATGCCAGCAGCACCAAACACAGCACTTATGATGAAGCCAGCCACCCATCTTAGCAGGGGAGAGCAACCTTCTCAACCTGAACTGCAACCAGGGAAGCCACAGCCCACTCCTTCCCACAGGAATTTGGTTAGACAGTCTCTATCCCTCTGGTGGGGATTTCAGTCTAACTGAATGGACACTTTGTATTCAGAGGTGGCTTCCGGGCAAGGAAGTGCCATCTTTTGATACGGAAACAATAAATTCTCTGAGATACATTCATCTAATCTGTGGTAATAATAGAATCTCCATCTCCCCAGATGGTAGGTTGGTATTTTTGGACTCTGGCCAAGAAAAAGCTAACTGGGGGTTGAATGATAAAAGTCTCAGGCACTTAAATACAATGCTGAATCTCTTATTTTAGCTTTGACAAGTTGTAGTCTGCTTGCCCCTCTATTGAGAGGTCCTCTGGACCATACTTCTTAACTATGGCTACTTTAAGAAATTTAGAGGATATTGGACCTTGAAGCTGCCTTTTCTAAGTAAGAAACTGTTTAACAATTTCTGTGCTGAAGTGCTTGAGGACATTTGTAGTAACTTCCAAACAGAACAAAACTAGAGACTTTGAATCATAGGCTTTATGATAGCGTTTGGGATATAGAGGGTTCATATGTGTTTCAGCCTAGGAGAAAAAGAGACTAGTATACATACTCATGTGTTGTCATATAGCATGATTCTCCAGTGGATACCTGGGTGAATCATTAAGATGAAGACAATGATTTATATTCACACTAAAACCTTTTAGTAAGCATGGAAAGGGAGAAATCTGGGATTTAGTCCTTGACGATTTCTGGAAAGCACTATTCAGTACAGCTGGCTTGGACATATTCCAGGTTGCCTGCTAGAGCTTGAGGTGAATTTTGGCTTCACTCCTGCAGTGTTTTGTGCTGGCCCCAGAGAGCAAATATTCTCATTCTTCCCATGGCAGCTGATTCTTTGGTGTCCCATTGTTTTCCCCTTTCTCCATAGGCCTTGTGCAGAGAAGTTCTCACATTGCCTCTGCACTCTGGGGATGAACTGCAGAAATTCCTGCAAGGTCAGGAACTGAGCCACAGTTCCCAGAATGGGTTGTGCCTCAGAGATCTGTTTCTTTAAAAGTTGAATCCTGGGAGAACTAAGATATTCCAGAAGAGTTACTGCTCTGGAACAAAGAAAGAAGACCCAATTCTTCTGAAGAACATTAGGGTTGATTTAATACCAAGAATAAAGATTGGCTTTTTCTTCTTTGACTTCACTACTCTAATTGTATTTAGAAGGAAAAGCTATTAAACACTCTAAAGAAAATGTCACAAAGGCAGTTATTGTAATGGTAGAAATAGAGGTACAGAGCTATGCAAAGGAAGCAGGAAGTAAAATATCTTCCTAGTTCCTGGAATCTAGTAATCTGTCCTAGCTTCTAGAGGTCAGGAGGGGCTGGTCCTTTGGTAGGCTCACTAGAAATTTTTGGCTCTTTACATGAGTTTCAGATATTAACTTTATTCAGTATAACCCCCGTTTTTTAATTTTTTTGTTGAATTATAGGTTACTAAAAACAATGAGGAATTTATATCCCTTGGTTAGTTTAGGAGTCTTTATTTTAAAATGCAGAGTTCAGAAAGAAATTCCTCAGATATAATCTCGAGTGCTTAAGCCAAGAAAAATTCTAAAATGCTATTTATTTGTTTCTGTAAGTTTGTACATAATACTATCAACCTCACATTGTTCTTGAGTTTTGATTTTTTTTAATCAGTTTGAATTTTGTTTTATTTGAAATGAAATGCTTCAGTTGTTATTTTGTCATTGCATTTCAGATAACTCGTGACCCTTTTATTGTCATTTTAGCATACCCAGTAGCCCACAAGTTGGAGGGTTGAGGTTTGGGTTTTTTCTTTATTTGTTACTAGAAGTTCTTTTACTCATTTGTCTCTTTGTGACCATAGTGATGACTTGAGTGCAGAGTGAATGGATGAATGAATAATTGGTTTAATACATGGTATTTCACCTCTTGAGTGCTCTTTTTTTGGCAACATAAACTTGTATATATTTTTAATTGCACTGGTACACTGAATGTGTCAGTGTCTGTACCACTGGACCAACAGAGCATTTTCTGGCTATTGGGTGCCTGATAATAATGTCTTGATTTTCCTTTGGGACTCAACTATAGAAGGTTTTTCCCCCAGCAGTTGGGGAGACTACAGGTGATCTCGATCATTGATGTCATTGCAATTGTTATTTTTTAAAATAAATTTATAAAAATACTAAAAAGTGACTTTAATTTTGAGGAGTCTGTATCCCCTGGGTTCTCAGTAGGTTGTGTTTGAGTGTTGACACTGTAATCTGTAGGCTGGCATGTGTGTGATCCCTGTGGACCAAATGGAAAAAAAAACCAATTGCCATAGAGGCCATTCTGACTCATGGTGACCCCATGTGTGTCAAGAGTAGAACTGAGCTCTATAGGGTTTTCAATGGCTGATTTTTCTGAAGTAGATTGCCAGGCCTTTATTCTGAGCCTCCTCTGGGTGGACTCACACCACCAACCTCTCAGTTAGTAGCCCAGCACTTAACCTTGTATACCACCCGGGGACTCAAATCCTGTGGACAGTGTATGCAGGCCTCTTAGCTGTATCTCTTCCCTTAATCTCTTTTCCTTCCCTTTTTGCCCTTTCTACCTGCTGAGGAGATTTCTGTCAGCTGTGGGTTGAAGATAATTTGGTCTTACTATTGGGGAGTGCTAATTAAAATGTGATGTAATTCCAAGTCCTGGTGGCAGTGGTTAAGAGCTCAGCTGCTAACCAAAAGGTCAGTAATTCGAATCCACCGGCCACTCCTGGAAACCCTGTGAGGCAGTTCTAGTCTATCCTGTAGGGTTGATACGAGTTGGAATTGATTTGATGGCAACAGGTTTTAGGTTTGATAGTAATTCCATGTGTAAAATTAGCCCTTTCTTTTTTAAAAAAAAAAAGTTGCCATCCAGTTGCTTCGGACTCACAGCAACCCTGCAGGGCAGAGTAGAAATGCCCCATAGGGTTTCCAAGGCTGTAAATCTTGAAGGAAGCAGACTGCCACATCTTTCTTCCGCCAGGCAGCTGTTGGGTTCGAACTGCCAACCTTTTTGGTTAGCAGCCTAGCGTTTCAACACTGCACCACCAGAGCTCCTTCCCTCTAGTTATAATAAAAACAGCTTTGGCTTATTAGGTGTTGTAGACCTAAAGACAGTGGAGACAATTTTTAGATCTATTTCCACAGAAAACAAACTTTGCTGATTGTTAAAAATCCACAACATGCTCATCTTTACTGGTCTCCACGAATCTGAGTCAACAAAGACCGGCAGCCTTGAGCAGGCCGTTCGTTATCGGACAGAAATCACAGAACTAGAAGCTAGACAAAATCCCTCGGGTGGGGAAGTGTCATAATGAGGCGCAACAGACATGTCCCTGCTAAACAAAAGAAACAGAAGAAACTCGACCAAGGAAAAGGACTAACAGTGTTAAATAAACTAACGGTATTAAAAAAGATCTGGAGTTTGCTTTAGTCAGATTTGCGCCAACGGAATTTGTCCTACTAAGTTTAGAGACGACCAAAGTTTCCGCTCTGGTGACATGGGGAAAAGGCCATCCTACCAATGCTTATCCCAGATGATCTGCCTTAACGTAGAATATTCTTCACCTTCACATTTCAAGATTAAAAACTTCAGCCTTGCTGGTTTGAACGCACCGCGCTCCCCGGTCCCTTTGGGGAAACCTGGAGCAAGCTTGAAGGCGGGATGAAGCAGGTGGGTCGGAGCCGGTGGCCCCTTTCGATTGGCGCTGCTCCAAAGAGGCCTGCATGGATTGGTTGGTGGGAGAGCTCCGTCAGGGCCGTCGATGCGGATTGGCTGCCGCGCCAAGGGTCACTGTTTCCGGTAGTTCGGCGGGCAACCCCGCCGCCGCCATGGCGACCGGCAAGCGGGAGGCGGCGCCGCCTCTGTGGCCCGTAGAGGCCCGGTTGGCGGCGCTGCTTCCCGACCTGCTGGTTTTCAGGAAGTCCCAGGGATCTGAACCCGAGCTCGCCACGGCCCAGGGCGTCCTGCTTGGCGTCCACGTGACGGGTGAGGGCGAAGGGAGGTGCAGCCGACTCCCGGACTGCCGGGGCGTGGCCGTTGGGCCTTCCCTCCCGGTGGCCTCGGCGGTTAGCGGCATGGCCCCCGGCCTTGCTGCGGCACAACTTAACTGCGCGCCGCCGCCTCCGCAGGAGACTTTTTAGAGTCTTCAAACAGGAGGAGACCGTTAGGGATGATTCGACTTGGTATTGAGCTCACTTCAGAAATAATGAAATTTAGACTCAGAGAGGAGAAGGGACTTTTCCAGGGCCACACGGCTCGCTTTGAACCCAGGTTTTCCTCCCATCGCTAGCGTTTTCCAATAAGTGTTCCATGGACAAACTGGCCCACATCCAATCTTTTATTCGCTTGATTAAGATACAGTAGCGATATACAATGGTTAAGAGCAGAGTTGCTAACCAAAAAGGTTGGGTTCGAATCCACCAGCCGCTCCTTGGAAACCCTATGGGGCAGTTCTCTCTCCCATAGGGTTGCTATGAGCCGGAATCGACTCGACGACAGTGAATTTGGTGGTTTTTGTTTTGTTATGTTTTTCCTTTTTGTTTAGAGATACACAGTAGTAGCTACTATGAGAGGCATTTATTCAACAAATATTTGTAGAGTTTATTCTGTCATGAATGTGAAGATGAGTGAAATAAGGTGCCTGCCCTTAAGGAGCTCACCATATGAGTTCTCCCTAACGAAGCTTTAATCCATCCCCTTTGTTAGTAGTCTCTCTATCCCTCACATCGGGGGAAGTCCTGTTAGCTTCCTTCGTCTGGGAGCCTTACACGGTGGTGGGAAAGAGGAGCAGGTTTCAGATGTGGGTGAATCTTCACTAACTGCAGCTCCTGAAAACATGGAGAGAGTGGCCCTTGGGAATCTGAATTCCCAGAGGCAGCTGCAGCCTGCCTGGCCCTGAATGCTTTCTAGGTAACACCGTGTTAAAAGGATAATGGAATTACTCAGTTCCAAGGGATCTGCTTCCCTTACGTGGGTCTGATGTGTGGAGGGAATAGGGCAGCTAACAAACAGTCATTTTTGCTTTGTTGGTCAGGGTTTACAGCATTAATGGACAGATTCAGCCTGACATGCAAGTCGGAGCATGATATGGACAAACTGGCCCACATCTTCAGTTATTACATTAGTGACATCGTGGAGCGTGAGTGACCATTTTAGGGGAGCAAGGAGGTGTGGTGCTGGGCTTCTGGGGGGGTTGTAAGAGAAGGGGGCCTGGAGTACTTAAAAGGGTATACTAAGGGGTCATTGCTTTAGTAGTACTCATCTTTGATGTCTTCAGGGTGCCTCTGACAAACTAGATCTTTGCCTGTATCTGCCATTTTGTATCCTGTTGACTCAATGTTCAGAAAGGGGGGAAGAAACTAATTTTGGTTTTTACTTGGCATGTTTGTATTTTATTTCAAAATAAAATATTCCTCAGGTTGTCTCTTCTAATGATGTGCCTCATGTTTGTACAGCAGGTATAATTTACAAAACACTTTCCCATTCTATTATTGCACTTTAATTCTGTGAGATAAAAATGGGTGTTTTCTTTATTTTCTTCCCTGTATTAGGCTTGTGGATATTTGCCTAATATGAAAACACTAATTTGTACAGTAGAGGTGTTTTGAGAACCTACTTTATGACATGCACTGTAATAGGTGCAGGAGGTGCACAAACCCGTTCTTGAGCTTTCAGTCTAGTTAGGCCTTGTTGTAGTTAGTTGCCATCGAGTTGATTCTAATTCATAGTGACCCGATGTGTGCAGAGTAGAACTGCTTCATAGAGTTTTCAAGGCTGTGACCTTTCAGAAGCAGATCGCCAGGCCTGTCATTTGATCACCTCTGGGTGGGTTCAAACCACCAACCTTTTGAATAGTAGTCAAATGCTTAACCGTTTGTGCTACCCAGGGACTCCCTAGTTAGGCCTTTTGTTATCAGATGCCACCCAGTCAGTTCTGATTCATAGCGATCCTGTGTACAACAGAAAAAAACACTGCCCCGTCCTGTGCCATCCTCACAATCATTGTTATACTTAAGCCTATTGTTGGAGCCACTGTGTCAGTCCATGTCACTGAGGGTCTTCCTCTTTTTTGCTGACCTTCTACTTTACCAAGCATGATGTCCTTCTCCAGGGACTGGTCCCTCCTGATAACGCGCCCAAAGAATGTGAGACGAAGTCTCGCCATCCTTGCTTGTAAGGAGCATTCTGGCTGTGCTTCTTCCAAGACAGATTTGTTCATTCTTCTGGCAGTCCATAGTATGTTCAGTATTGTTTGACAACACCATAATTCAAAGGTGTCAGTTCTTCAGTCTTTCTTATTCATTGTCCAGCTTTCACTTGCAGATGAGGTGATTGAAAATACTAGTGGCTTGGGTCAGGTGAACTTTAGTCTTCAAGGTGACATCTTTGCTTTTCAACAGTTTAAAGAGGTGTTTTGCAGCAGATTTTGCCCAATGCGGTACGTCACCTGATTTCTTGACTGCTGCTTCCATGGGCGTTGATTGTGAATCCAAGTAAAATGAAATCCTTGACAACTTCAGTCTTTTCTCTGTTTATCATGATGTTGCTTATTAGTCCAGTTGTGAGGATTTTTGTTTTCCTTATGTTGAGGTGCAATCCATACTGACAGCTGTAATCTTTGATCTTCATCAGTAACTAGTAACTAGTTAGGCTTACCCAACAGAAATTACTCTGACCCATATTCCTTTCTTACGCCGTTTAGTAAGGAGCCCGGTGGCCCAGCAGTTATGCACTCAGCTGCTAATCAAAAGGTTGGCAGTTCAAACCCACCCAGCAGTTCTGTGGGAGAAAAGACCTGGCGATCTGCTCATGTAAAGATTGTTGTTGTTCTTAGGTGCCGTCGAGCCAGTTCCGACTCATAGCGACCCCACATACAACAGAATGAAACACTGGTCCTGTGCCATCCTCACAATCATTGTTATCCTTGAGCCCATTGTAGCCACTGTGTTAATCCATCTTGTTGAGGGTCTTCCTCTTTTTCTCTGGCCCTCTACTTTACCAAGCATGATGTGCTTGTCCAGGGACTGGTCCCTCCTGATAACACGCCCAAAGAATGTGAGACGAAGTCTCGCCATCCTTGCTTCTAAGGAGCCCTGTGGTTGTACTTCTTCCAAGACAGATTTGTTCATTCTCTTGGCAGTCCATGGTATATTTGATATTCTTTGCCAACGCCACAATTCAAAGGCGTCAATTCTTCGGTTTCCTTAATTCATCGTCCAGCTTTTGCATGCATATGAGGGGATTGAAAACACCATGGCTTGGGTCAGGTGCACCTTAGTCTTCAAAGTGACCTCTTTGCTTTTCAACACTTTAAAGAGGTCTTTTGCTGCAGATTTGCCTAATGCAGTACGTCGCCTCATTTCTTGACTGCTGCTTTTATGGGCATTGATTGTGGATCCAAGTGAAATGAAATCCTTGACAACTCCCATCATTTCTCCATTTATCATGATGTTGCTTATTGGTCTAGTTGTGAGGATTTTTGTTTTCTCTATGTTGAGGTGTAATCCTTACTGAAGGCTGTGGTCTTTGATCTTCATCAGTAAGTGCTTCAAGTCCTCCTCACTTTCAGCAAACAAGGTTGTGTCATCTGTATAATGCAAGTTGGTAATGAATCTTTCCTCCAGTCCTGATGCCCTGTTACTCATGTAGTCCAGCTTCTCAGATTATTTGCTCAGCATACAGATTGAATAGGTATGGTGAAAGGATACAACCCTGATGCACACCTTTCCTTACCTTAAACCATGCAGTTTCTCCTTGTTCTGTTTGAACAACTGCCTCTTGATTTATGTACAGGTTCCTCATGAGCACAATTAAGTGTTCTGGAATTCCCATTCTTTGAAATGTTATCTGTAATTTATTATGATCCATGTAGTTGAATGCCTTTGTATAGTCAATAAAACACAGGTAAACATCTTTGTGGTATTTTCTGCTTTCAGCCAGGATCCATCTGACATCTGCAGTGATATCCCTGGTTCCACGTCTTCTTCTGAATCTGGCTTGTATTTCTGGCAGTTCCCTGTCAATATACGGCTGCAGCTGCTTTTCAATGATCTTCTACAAAATTCTACTTGCATATGATATTGTTCGATAATTTCTGCATTCGGTTGGATCACCTTTCTTGGGAATAGGCATAAATATGGATCTCTTCCTGTCAGTTGGCCAGGTAGCTGCCTTCCATATTTCTTGGCATAGATGAGCGAGCACTTCCAGTGCTGCATCCATTTGTCAAAATGTCTCAATTGGTGTTCCGTCAATTCCTGGAGTCTTGTTTTTTTGCCAGTGCCTTCAGTGCAGCTTGGACTTCTTCCTTCAGTACCATTGGTTCCTGACCATATAGTGCCTCCTGAAATGGTTGAACATTGACCAATTCTTTTTGGTGTAGTGACTCTGTGTATTCCTTCCGTCTTGTTTTAATGCTTCCTGCATCATTTAATATTTTCCCTGTAGAACCCTTCAGTATTGCAGCCCGAGGCTTGAATTTTGTCTTCAGTTCTTTCAGCATGAGAAATGCCAAGCATGATCTTCCCTTTTGGTTTTCTACCTCCAGGTCTTTGCACATGTCATTATAATACGTCACTTTGTCTTCTCTAGCTACCCTTTGAATCTTCTGTTCAGCTCTTTACTTCATCATTTCTTCCTGTCACTTCAGCTCCTCAACATTCAAAAACAAGTTTCAGAGCCTCTTCTGACATCCATTTTGGTCTTTTCTTTCTTTCCTGTCTTTTTAATGACCTCTTGCTTTCTTCATGTATGATATCTTTGATGTCATTCCACAACTCATCTGGTCTTCAGTCATTAGTGTTCAATGGGTCAAATCTGTTCTTGAAATGGTCTCTAAATTCACGTGGGATATGCTCAAGGTCATAGTTTGGCTCTCGTGGACTTGTTCTAATTTTCTTCAGTTTCAGCTTGAACTTGTATATGGGCAGTTGATGGTGTGTTCCACAGTTGGCCCCTGGTCTTGTTCTGACTGATGATACTGAGCTTTTCCATTGTCTGTTCGGTCATTAGTGTTCAACGTGTCAAATCTGTTCTTGAGATGATCTTTAAATTCAGGTGGGATGTGCTCAAGGTCGTACTTTGGCTCTCGTGGACCCGTAAAGATTACAGCCAAGAAAACCATATGGGGCAGTTCTGCTCTGTCACATGGGGCTGCTATGAGTGGAAATTAGCTCTGCGGCACCTAACAACAACAGCAACACCTTTTAGTACTTATGTAACATTCCCAGACTTTTCTAATGGTAACTCCATAGTTAACTCCATCATTGTGAGGTTAACCAGAACAATTACTTTGTTGCATCTACTTTAGGAATTTGATTATTTGACTCACCTCTTACCTTTGAGGAGCAAGTGTAAAAGATCTTTCACTGTTTGTCATCAGGTTTGGATGAAAGGGGGAGGTAGAAATTATTATGTGTGTATTGTTTACCAGGAGCTATTGGATATGAGAAATACCAGGGAGAGGGAGAGGCATAGTACCTATCTTCATGGAGTTTCCACTCTCCCAGACAGATAAGTAAGGAAAATAATTATAGATTACAGATTCTATAAAGGAGATGAACAGGGTACAGTGGTAAAAAAAAATAATTGTGGGGTAGAGGAGTCTCTGATTTAGATAGGGTGGTCATAGGAAGCTCCTCTGAGGTGGCATTGTTTAAGCTGAGACATGAACGATGAGAAGAATACCTTGTGAAGAGCTAGGACTAAAGCATTTCAGGCAGAAGAACACCAAGTACAAAGGTCCTGAGGTGGGAGAAAGCGTGGCATGTTCTAGGAACTGACAGAAGGCCAGTGTGGCCAGAGCATGGTTAGCAGGGGGAAGAGTGGCTTGAGGTGAGGTTAGAGAATGTCAGATCATCAAGCTTTGTGGACCATAGTAGGGAGTCTGGATTGTATTTTTTTACGATGAAAAATTACTGAAAGGTTCTAACAGGGCAGTAATGTGATCTCATTTACATTTTTTAAAGTTCATTTTGGCTGCTTCATGGAGATTGAATTATAGGAGACCGAGGGGTGAGTAGTAAGAGAGAAGACTGGAAGAGGCACTTGGAACAGTCTCGAAGTAATGGAGATTTGGTCTAAGGTACTGGTTCTTAACCTTGGCTGGGGAGCTCTCAAATATCCTAATGCATAGACTTCACCCCAGATAAATTAAATCAGAATCTCTTGGTATGGGCCCAAGCATAAGGGTTTTTGAAAGTTTCACAGGCAATTCCAATGTGCAACCAAGGTTGAGAACCATTAATCTGGAGACGTGGCAGTGGAGATGTGTAGGAGTGGATTAATCTGAAGTATATTCTGCAGGTTCAACAGACAGGAGTTGCTGATGGATTGGATTTCAGTGGGAGGTAGTGAGGAAAGAGACTCAGTTTTTTTAGCTTTTGTAACTAAATTGGTAGTGGCATCACCTACTGAGATGGGAAAAACTGGGTTTGGGAAAGAAAGTCAGGGGTTCTGTTTTGAATATGTTGAGTTTGAGATGCCAATAAGAGACTCAAGTAGAGAAATCAAGTTGGTAGCTATGATAGAGCCTGGAGCTCAGAGACTAAATCTCTGTTAGAGATAAAAATGTGAGTTGATGGCATGGTACTTAAAGCTAAGAACTGATTGAGTTCACGTGGGGGAAATCGTACATGAGGAGAAAGAGCCTATGCCTGAGGCTTGAGGAGCTCCAGGTGAGGATTATAACTGGGGAGAAAACCTGCAAAAGAGCCTGTAAAGCAGCCAGTGAGATAGGATAATATGGTCCTGAAGCCAAAGGGAAGTAGTGTCTCTAAGAGGCAGCAGCCAGCTGAGTTGAAAATGAAACATACCAAGTACAGTGAGGTCAGAAAAATATCATTGAATTTGGCAAGATGATTGGTGTTGATGATCTTGATAATTTTGGTGACATGGTGGAGATGGAAGTCAGATTAGCATAAGCTGAGAAGATAATAGTAGAGAAAAAATTTTCAAAGAGAGTGAATAGGAGGTAAAGAAAAGGAGAAAAGTATAGATAGCCAATTCTTTTGAGAAGGTTTACTGTGAATGTAGCAGAAAAATAGTGCTAATAATTAGAGGAAAAAGTGGAGTCAAGAATAAGTGGGTTATTTTTGTTGCATTTTTTTAAGATGCTTGTTATAGATTGAATTGTGTTCCCCAAAAATGTGTGTCAACTTGGCTAGGCCATGATTCCCAGCATTGTGTGATTGTTCACAATTTTGTCATCTGATATGATTTTCCTGTGTGTTGTAAATCCTACCTCTGTGATGTTAATGAGGCAGGATTAGAAGCAGTTATGTTAATGAGGCAGGACTCAATCTACAAGTTTAGGTTATATCTTAAGTCAATCTCTTCTGAGGTGCAAAAGAGAGAAGTGAGCAGAAAGGAGAGGGACCTCATTACCATGGGGCAAGAAGAGCAGGGAGTGGAGCATGTCCTTTGGACCCGGGGTCCCTGTGCTGAGAAGCTCCTACACCAGGGGAAGATTGATGACAAGGACTTTTCCCCAGAGCCAACAGAGAAAGAAAGCCTTCCCCTGGAGCTGGTGCCCTGAATTTGGACTTCTAGCCTCCTAGACGTGAGAGAATAAACTTCTCTTTGTTAAAGCCATCCACTTGTGGTACTTCTGTTATAGCAGCGCTAGATAACTAAGATAGTGCTGATGGGAATGATCCAGTAGAGTGGAGATAAGCGAGTGAGTGCAGTCCTTGAGAAGGTGAGAGGAAATAAGGTCCAGAGCACAAACAAGGGATGGCTTTGAAGGGATCAGGGGTACTTCCATTTTGCCTGGAAGGGAAAAGGAGAAGATGGATGTAGGTATGGATAGATTTTGGAAAGAAAGTAGGGGGAAGGAGGAAGGAACCTGAGCTTTGGAATGAAAATAGACCAGAAAAGATAACAGAAACTCACTAGGCTGTTCTTTTGATTGTATATGATTTTGTCATGGTATATGTTTGGTTTTGACTCACTTCCCTCTCTCGTGCTTATTTGATTTCAGATGTGCTCTGTTTTGGAGGGGATATCCTAAACATCACAGGTATTTTTCAATTTTCTGAATACTTAAAAGACTATGAATGACAAAACTTTACTTAGGTGGAATTTAGCTTATTCGTTTACCCTGCATTGTTTGTATCATTTAATCCTGGGGATGCAAAGATGAGGAAGACACAGTCTCTGCCTCAAAATATCTCCCAGTCCAATGGAAAAGCCTTGCCCATATTAAACGCACACGTGCTTTATGTTTCTTTTAGATTGAATGATAGGAGAATAAATGCCTGTAGAAGCATTTTTCGAAAACTGATGTGAAATTTGGTCATTAACAGCAAAGGCTAAGCATGAAACGGGGGAGTCGAGAGTCTCCTAGGAATCTGGGGAACTCTTAGGATCATTAATAGCTACAGTACCCCAGAGTTGGCCCATCTTCTCAAATAGACTAAGATAGGCCTTAAATTTGACTTGACTTTGAACCTACGTGTTTGAACTTCTTTGTTAGTATCCCTTCCCCTCTGTCAGTATACCTGGTAGAGGGAAGATTACCAAAAATATTCTTAAACTCCGGGAACATTTTCAAACTTTTGCCTAGTCATGTTTTTCTATTCTGATTGGTTTTGAGAATCTAAGGCAGTTTTTTTAACCTAGCATAATGGATAGGGCCTGACACCTACATATAATATCTACACTGGATCAAGCTGATCCTTATTATTGGGAGCTTTGCCCTGGGCCAGGAGAGTCTGGGTATTCGACCCCATCAGCCTATCCTATGTCTCGGCAGGGAATGTGCTCCTGGCGCTCTGGACGGTAGAAAAGAATCAGCTGAGTGACATCATTACCCTGGTGGCAAAATGCAGTCTGGAGATACAGGAGAAATTTGGAATCTACCATACCAGAGAAGGCCAGGACCTGCAGCTAAAGATAGGTAGTAGCTCCTAAAAGAGTGTCCAATTGAAAAAACCACTATAAAAAATTCAAACGATAAATAGCAAGCTGGGAAAAAGTATAGGCATCTCGTATCATATAAACGAATGGCAGCGTTCCCTAGTATAGAAAGAGTGCCTAGAAATCGAGAAAAGACCAAAATGGACGAAGGATATAGACAAAGAAATTTACAGGACCTTTACAGATGTGAAAAGATGCTCAATTTCATAGCAAGAAAAATAGCAATTGAAAGTATATTGAGATACCATTTCTTACCTATAAAACCTGTTGCCATTGAGCTGATTCCAACACATAGTAACCCTGTAGGACAGAGTAGAACTGCCCCATAGAGTTTCCAAGGAGCACCTGGTAGATTCAAATCACCAACCTTTTGGTTAGCAGCCGTAGCACTTAACCACTATGCCACCAGTGTTTCCTTCTTACCTATAGATAGGCAAAAATTTAAGTAATGGACAACATGTTGGTGAGGGGGTGAGAAAATAAGCCTTCTCATGTATTGCTGGTGGGAGTGAAAAATGGTACAACTTCTATGGAAGGTGATTTAGCAATCTCTGTCAAGATTACAAATGCCATTTATTCTTCAGCCCAGCATTCCCACTTCTGGGAATTTATCTCATACATATACCTGTACATTTATAAAATGTCATATGTACAGGGTAATTGATTGCACTGTGGTTTGTAATAAAAGATTGGAAACAATCCAATCATCCATCTATAGAAGACTGGTTAAATAAACAATAATATGTATTCCGTGAGATTCTCTCTAACTTTAAAAAAAGGAGATTATATGGCAATAACTCTAAGATAGAGTTAAGTGAAAAAAAAGTAAGATGCAAAACAGTGGTTTTTATAGGCCACCTTTTATGTAAGGAGGGAAATTAAGAATTTTTCTTCTCACTTGATTGTATTTGTATTAAAGAAACACTTTAAGAAGGATACATAAACTAATAAAAGTTATCAGGAAAATGCACTAGAGAAGGACATCATGCTTGGTAAAGTTGAGGGTCAGTGAAAAAGAGGAAGACCCTCAACGAGATGGATTGATATAGGGGCTGCAACAATGGGCTTAAGCATAGCAACGATTGTGAGGATGGCACACAACCAGGCAGTGTTTCCTTCTGTAGTACATAGGGTCACTGTGAATTGGAACCGACTCGATGGCACCTAACAGCAACAACATTGGAGAAAATAGTATAGACGGGTATTTAAGTGGAAACAAGATTTTTTTTAATGTATGTTCTTTATATAGTTAGGATAGTTAGGATTTTGAACCATGTGATTGTGTTATATAATCAAAAATACAATACAATAAAAATTTAAAAGCTGCACACATAGGACAAAGCTTTAGCAATGGCAGAGTCGGGATTAGAAGGAAAGCTGTATACACAGTGTTCTTTCATAGGAAGCTAGAAAGCTCATCAAGGGATTTTTAATAGTGGACAAAAGTCGACTGTAGCCATTCATTTATTTTTTAAGGAGTAGTGGCGAACAGTCTTATTGTGTCTTACATGGCATCTCTCCTGTCCTGCCATCTTTTTTTGTTTTAACAGCTTTATTGAGGACTAATTGATAATTTATACTGTACTTATTTAAAGTGTATAATTGGATAAGTTTTGATATATTTATACACTTGTGAAACCATCATGACAATCATAACAAAATAATGAACATATTCATCACTCAGAAAAGATTTCTTATGCTCCTTGGTAAACCCTCTCTCCTGCCACTCCTCAGGATCAACCCAACAGCAACTGCTAATCTGTTGTCTTCTCTCTTTTATTCTTGATCAGTTTGGCTAAATGTTTGTCAATTTTATTGGTCTTTCAAAGAGCAAGATTTTGGTTTTATTGCATTTTCTCTGCTGTTTTTCTGTTTTTTAGTTCATTGATTTCTTCCCTAATCTTTATTATTTCCTTTCTTCAGCTTACTTGGGGTTTAATTTGCTCCTATTTAAATTTATAAATTTCTTTAAAAGCTTTTTAAAGAGGCCCTTTTGACAATTATTAATACAAATGTGAAATAAGATCCTTCAAACAAATAACCAATTTCATCGAATTTGGAAAATGTTCTGCCATTATTTCTTCAAATATCTTTTTCTGTCCCCTCCTCCTCTCTTCTTTTGAACTCTCCAACCACACATATATTACTATTAAAATTGTCCCACAGCTCACTGAGGCTGTGTTCATTGTTTTTCTGTCATTTTTTCTCCCTGTTTTTCATTTTGGGTAGTCTCTAGTGCTTTGCCTTCAAATTTAAAAACCTTTTCTTTTGCAATGTGAGAATACACAGTTTGATCTCATTTCATGTATTTTTTTAATCTCAGACATTATAGTTTTCATTCTTAGACGTTCAGTCCTCTAGATTCTTGAACATATGGCATACAGTTATAATAACTGTTTTAGTATCCTTTTGTGCTAATTCTATCTGTGTCATTTCTGGGTTGGGTTCAGCTGATTTATTTTCCTCATCATTATGGGCCATATATTCTTTCTTTGCATGCCTGATGGTTTTTGATGGGTGCCAGACATTGTGAATTTTACCTTGTGGGGTTTTGGAATTTTCATATTTCTCTAAGTATTCTTGAGGTTAGTTCTGGGATGTGGTTGATTTGATCCTTTGAGATTTTGCTTTTAAACTTTGTTGGGTGGGGCCAGAGCAGGAAAACATCCCTTTTCCTTCTTTTTCGTCTATTCCAGGGCTGCATGTTCCTCTGTATTTTTGGCCTTCCTGGAGATAAGAAGTGTTTAATGTAGGACGGTTTAATGTAGGGCTAGTTTTATCATATTTCTGAAACAAATCCCTTCTGAGTACTATACCCAATGTCCTGTAAATTATTAAGTTTGACACTCTGGCTTCTAGGAATAGGAACTACTCCCAGTCCTGTGTGATATCCAAGGGTTGTTACATCTAATCTTTTCAGGGGATTCTTTTCCCAGCTTCAGGAGTTTTCTTACACACATGCATTGATCAGTAATCAGCTGCAGACTTAAAAGGGACCTAATGCTGATCTGTGGAGTTCTCTCTTTGTACAGTTCTCTCCTGCCTAGTACACCTCGCAGTGCCCCGTGAATTCCAGCCACCTTGGCCTCCTCAGATTCCCAGCTCTGTCTCTCAACTCAGAGAGTCCTCGGGGCTCCACCTGGGTTTCCCCTCCCTGAGATGCATCCCGGAAACTCTTCCAGGTAGTAAGCTTGGGTATCATATGGTTCACCTCATTTGCCTCCCACTCTCAGGGATCACTGTCTTTCATTACTTGATGTCCAGTGTCTTGAAAACTGTTGTTTCATGTTTGTTTGTTTTTTTCCTTTCCAGTTCTTTACTTGTTTCAGGAAGCAGGGTAAATTTAGTTATCTACTATCTTGTTACTCCATCCTGGCCAAAAGTGTTAGTCTCTACCATTCTTTTTAAACTATTTTTCTCTTGTTTTTAGATTGGATTGGGTGGTCTAGTAATTAGAGCAGGCTTCTCTTGGTTATAGTCACTTTTTCCCTGGCAAGCAAACCAATTTTTTCTTTTTTTTTAAAATTCAGCTGTATTACAATACAGGAGAAACTAGCACAGCTTGTACAAGAAAAGGTCATGGAAGCCCCATAGACACATCCAAACTCCCTGAGGGACTGAATTGCTGGGTGGAGGGCTCTGGGGACCATGGTCTCGGGGAACATCTAGCTCAGTTGGCATGACACAGCTTATAAAGACAATGCTCTACATTCTACCTTGGTGAGTA